ATGGTTCTGTTTGGGAAGCACATGTGTACACACATGAGACACGTGGATTTTATTTTGAAATCAGAAGTTTCAGGAAGACGACAGTGAGACAGTTTCAACATAGATACCAGAAGTCTTTATATCGTTGTTTTCAGCTGTTTGGAGTTCTTCTTTCACTGAATTAATTATTTATGCTGTGACTTCACATTTATCACTGGATTTATCACACAATCTGCTTCCTGCACGTCTGTCGGACCGGACCGGACCGGACCAGAGCGGACCGGAGGTGGTGTAAACTGGACTTGAAACGCTCAGCTGTGACCTGTGCAGCGCAGCGCAGCGTAGTGGAGCTGGAACACAAGTAATGTAAATCCAGGGTCAGAGGTCTTCACTCTACAACCTGTGTCCTCATTCATCCATTCACACAGCACTCTGTTAGCTCTCTACAGAGATAACAGGTACAATCATCTATGAGACTAATCAGTCCAATCACATTCAGACACTGATGGGACATCAGAGGCATTAGGGCTGAAGTGCCTTGCCCAAGGACACAACAACTGAGACAGCTGGATGGGGGATTGAACCAGTGACCTACCAGTTCCAGGACAACTCCTCTAACCACTCTGCCACAGCCATCCCATGGAATGGGAACACAATTTTATTTATTGAATTCTCTATTTTTGTTATTGTTTGTTAAAAACATATATTTTGTGTTGATAAGCCTGTGGTCTGTTGCAGGTTACAATATAAAATGTTTGTTATAATCACGTCTTGTGATTATTTGACAGGTTTAAACTGTAAGTGTATTTAATTTAGTTATGATGTAAATACAATATAAATTAAACCAAGATTTATGATAATTATCATTTTGATCTGTACATTGGTAATGTCTGACTGGGCCTCGAGGTCCAAAAGGTTCAGAACCACTGTTAGATGATGAAGGGTCAGGGGTCAAAGGTCAGATGTGCTCCACCTCACCTCCCAGTAGATCCTGCGGGTGAACATCCCTCGGGTGTAGGCCTGGATGGTGACCACAGCCTGCCGGATCCGCAGGTACTTCCTGCGCTCCCGGACCATGCGGTACTGTTTCTGACAGATGAGGGCGGCCCGGTTCAGACGCAGGAACTCTGCGTACCTGCAGGAGGAGGACAGGTGGAACAGTGATCACCAGGTGACAGCAGTGTGGTCCCAGACCCTCTGGACCAATCAGCTCACCTACGAGCCAGGTATCCTCGACCGTATCTCTGCAGGGCCACGGCAGACCTGCGGATCTTACGGTACCGGATCCTCTGCAGCCAGCCTCGGACCGTCTTCTGGATCTTGATGCAGGCTGATCGGAACTTATCGGTCCGAAGTTTCTCCAGGTACGCCACCTGACCGGCTCTGAAGAAGATCTTGGTCTTTCCAAACTGGAACATGTCGGGTTCCTGACAGGAACACAGATGAGATCTGAGCCYGGGTCTGAGCCGGACCAGTTCACGGTCTTGGTGCCAGACTTAAACACTTTGTTCTGTTCTAGCTGCACATGAACGGGTCAGAACTGTCAGATCTGGACTCACTCAGACCTTCATCCACATAGAACCAGTTTCTGAGACCAGGATCCAGACTGTGTAACCCTGAACCCTCAGAGTCTGATTGATCCAAAGCTTTCAGCTCAACATGAAAACTGACTGAAGACAGACAAAAACCAGCTAAACTATAAACAAACAAACAAACAAACAAACAAACAAACAAACAAACAAAGAGTGTCTCCCTGACGCTGAGTCACTGCTGATGTTGTGAGTCTGAGTCATGTGACCTGCTGCCTTCAGCTCAGGAGCTTTTCATTAACGTCCAGATGTGTTGTCCTCTTTTTCAGCAACAAGTCAGCTTTTCTCTGCTGCCTGGACCTGTTTCCTGTGGCCTCAACAACAACAACAACAAGCAAACAAAACAACAACAATCTAACAACAACAAGCAAACTAAACAACAACAATCTAACAACAACAACAACATAACAACAACAACAATCTAACAACAACAAGCAAACAAAACAACAACAATCTAACAACAACAAGCAAACAAAACAACAACAATCTAACAACAACAAGCAAACAAAACAACAACAATCTAACAACAACAAGCAAACAAAACAACAACAATCTAACAACAACAAGCAAACAAAACAACAACAATCTAACAACAACAAGCAAACAAAACAACAACAATCTAACAACAACAAGCAAACAAAACAACAACAATCTAACAACAACAAGCAAACAAAACAACAA